GTTCTGGGTTCCATTATTCTTATTCATTTTGAAGAGTTCTGCATTAAAATTCCAAAAAATTCTTGTTAGCTTTGACTTTTTGTATCGGCTTACGGTTAGATGTCGATGTTGGGAAGGCTGCCTCCGTAAATAACAGAGTTATGGACGTTTCAGGAGCTTCGAAATGGGCCATACGAATCCGTTCTTGCTTCGGAATGTGAAACTGTGTCACTCGCAGATCGACTTAGCAAGAGTCCGTTCACCAAAGGTTTGTTATTTTCCGTTTTGTATATTTTCCATTAGTCCAGGTTTATGCCAAATGAAAGTACCATTAAGATTTGGCCCTGTGGTACATTAGAGCAGGCTAGGTTATGGAGAATGAACAGGTGTGAAGCAATGTTTCGTGCGACCTCTCAAACCGAATTGGTACCCTTAGGTGTTATGTAAAATATAAATTTGATAAGTTTGGGAAAGTGAAGTGTGTTTCTTGCCCTTGTGCGTTAGCATGGTGCGCATAAATGTGAACAAATAGCCCATTCTTTATTAATTACTCGAGAGTGAGTCAAGCCTTTGAGTTACGCGCAAAAGCTTACAGCAACTGATTGCAAATTGTTCTTCCTACAACAACTTGTAAGCTTTTTTCTCTATACCAAAGTTCCATAAATTCAAGGAAATTCTAAACTATTGTATCATGGAAAAATGGAAAAAGAAATTTTGGTATCTAAACTGTCGGGCACCATCATCATTGGCCGATGTCAGAGTCTGCGATTGGAGCGATCGGTCAAATGCCAATCGCGCGACCATCGCGCGATTCGCGCGACGATCGCGCGATTGACATGAGTCCCATCATGACCAATCGCTCCAATCGCGCGATGGGCGCGATCACTCCCGTTGTGGCTGGTGCGCCCCTCTCGATCGATAGCTCAGTCAACGTATCGATCGAGAGGGGCGCGCCAGCCACAACGGGAGTGATCGCGCCCATCGCGCGATTGGAGCGATTGGTCATGATGGGACTCATGTCAATCGCGCGATCGTCGCGCGAATCGCGCGATGGTCGCGCGATTGGCATTTGACCGATCGCTCCAATCGCAGACTCTGACATCGGCCAATGCCGGACGGGTTCAAGAAGGAGAATAGGTGAAGTGCGTCCGTGTGGTTTCGTTCTTGGATATCTTTCGTATTTTTCTCGTCCGCCCTCTCCTGTACAGTAGCAGATGTGCTGAACAAAACTTTATTCCCAGTTGGCATTGTTTGAAAATAATCTCTATGTATGATTTTAGGTTGTCCTTTGCAGCGGCATTGATATGGAATGTGGCTATTCTCGGGAACTTTTTCTGGATTGGTGCAGTGACAGTAGAAATTCGTTTTATGGCATGCACCAGTTCGAATAAAGACACCTGCTGCATGCTCTCTGCCTTATTTTACTCTTCAGCTTAAAAAAAAAAATTCTCTTATTAGGGTCGGTCAAGTGAACGCACCCTTTGCTCAAAACTGATCTACATGGCTGAGTGTTTGGCGACGAATGCAAGGACGAATCGAATTGTTGCACTGGAAGTCAAGAAAAGAGTACGGTTGGAAGGAGCAGAGCTGGAAGCGTACAAGAAGAAGAAAATGCAAAAAGACAAGGAGGAAGCACGACGAAGGTGGGGGGAAAGATTTTGTTCATGTATAAAGGAAAGGAATGATTATTATTTGTGGCTATATAGGCTGGAAGAGCAAGAGAAGCGTCAGGCAGAATTGCGTGGTTTTGACTCGGATGACGACGATGAGATCATGGCCAGCGCGCTGGTGGCGTGTTGAAGCGTTGTGTACGAAGAAGAAACGTGAAGAAGAACAGCAAGCAGCCGCTGCGGCTGCTCGGGAAAATGGAGGTCCATCGCCGGCCATCACTTCCACTCCAATGATCGTTGATCCGGCGCCGATGAAAGAGGCCATGTCTGAAGTCGAACCAGAAGACGATCTTTGGTAAGGGGGATGGATCAATATTTAGTTTGCTACTTCTGCTAATCTTTTTCCTTAGCAATCCTGTTTGACTGTGGCGAGGTAGAGCACCGGAACATCTTAGCGACGCACCAGCCTTTGTACCATCTGGTCCTGCTTTTCCCACGAGGAAGAGGCGTCCGGTCAGGCATAACATCACTATGCAAGCTATGATGCGGTACAGGTAAATTTTAACTTTCTTAGGACCGTTCTTTGTTCCGATCTCTGTTTCCCATCCCAACCCCACCCCCTTCCCTTCAAACCTGCTTTCCCCTGATGAACGCTCGTGATGGTGTTCTGGTTATGCACAATTCATTTCAGGATGCCATTCTTCAAAAGGTTTATGCCAATTCTCCTACCGATGTATCCTGTTCTGGAGGAGAAAGTTAAGGTACTAGTGGATTCTGCACCTATTCGCATTACTTGGTCTTCATACTTTGGAATGTTTTCCAGTGGGACGTCTATGGTGAAAAGTATAGACCTGAAGATTACACGGTGTCAAAAAGCTAAGAGTTCATCTACCTGTTCCACAAGAGATTATCAAAGAGGCAGATGATCCAACAGCAAATATGGTGGTGCCGATAGCGGATGATGCGCCCACAAAGTGTATCACGGTCATAGAAAAGATTGAGGTTGGTGACTTTATAGACTGAGTGAGTCCGATCAGAGCAGCCAGCGGCTCAGAAGTGGCATCTTTTTAGTAACTACTTGGCTAGGAGTGTTTTGCATTCATTTAAGCAACAAAAATGGAGTGCTGCTTATGTGATTAGGCTTCTAAATGATGAATTTTCGCTACTCTAATGATTTCTTTCATCACAGGTCAGCTGTAATGTGGAGTACATTGAGTTTGAAGGCCGATCGGATGGTGAGTCAACGAAGAAGCTCATCGCTCAGATGAAGCCAAAGCAGCTAATTATTGTCCACGGTTCGGCGCAAGCAACACGGCATCTTGCTCAATACTGCTATGATAACAATATTGCGCAGGTAAATTTCAAATACATATTTCGACGTATTCCTAACGTTCCCAGCCCTGAGGGTGAGTAAGGTTTAGCTTCTGTTCCACCTGGGGTTCAAGGTTCTCAAGTAAAACCCATACTTCAAAACCTTGTCTGACATCCATTCCACTTGAGATTTTGCGAATTCGACTACAGACGCGGCAACATGACTCATCATTACTAGATTGTACTTCTGCAGACCGGATTGCGTACTGAATTAAAATTTCCACATTATACCTTAGAAAAAGGCAACTTTAATTTGCTTGAAAACAAAACGTACTTTGCCCATAGTTGATCCAAGTAGGTGAGCAATCTCCAGCACACGACCTCCTGTATCTATCACTATGGCGCAGTCGCCATTCTGGCGTACTGTTCTATAAATACAATGACTTTAAATGATGCAGCAAAACATGGGTTCAAAAAAAAGCGAAAATCAAAAAACGAATGAAGTTATGAATGCACAAAAACATACTTCAAAATGGTAGTGACTAATTGTTCATCTCGCTCTTTTCTCCTAGGCTGTGTGTAGAGGGCATTCAAAGAGTCCGTGATCAACAGATAGGGTCTCAAAATAGCTGAAAAACATCCGGTCAACATCATATTTAGAGCTTACCTTGTAAACACATGCCAAAACAAAGGTAAGAGGAGGTTTGGCGAAAAGCCGGAATATATGCACTAGTTTTATGATCAATGACATTTTCGCAGGAGTCCGTTCTTGTAATTTAACCTCTCGCAAAAGAATATTGAACGTGGGTAAACACGTACTGTCAAAAGAGCATCCATTCAGATGACGTTCTTTTTTGTGATTATAGTCTACTGCATAAATAATGTCCTCCTCATCGTGCCGAGTAATTCGCCACATAGCACCACCGATCATATGTCCAGCTGGCAGAGCAGTGATTTTAATCTGGCTATCACCTCGAAGTGGCACCTGACAATATTCGACATTAGTTACACATGGAAATCGATTGATGTAAGTATGTTAGGTTGTATACAGCAGTCCAGGACCGAGGAAGAAATTCTTCCCAGCCAAGGCTAAACTTCCTATCCCCTGCCGGGATCGCTGCATATGGTCTACAGTGAGAAATGCACTCATATCAGGCCGGCTGGGTATCTGGTAGTATGTATCGATCGTGCCATCGCAGAATCATTATGTATTTACTCCATGAAAACTGGAGCTGAGAACGAAGCGCTACGCAGTTGTAAGGTATGACCACAGCCGAAGAGATATCGAGAACTCAAAGTGAAGTAGGAAACATCAGAAAGCTCAAAAAAGCAAGGGAGCGAGACAACGAGAAAAGAAAACATAAACAAGAAACGAACGAGAGAGACCCCAATAATGACAAAGAAAATAAGAGGCCGAGAATGCGAGTTCAATAAAGAATAAAGGAAGCAGCGGTTAATAAACAGAATCAAGTGAAAATTGAACATACGGGAAATCAGTGAGCTTTTCATAGAATCTCCAGGAAAGAAAGACACAAAAAAGAAAAAGAGAAGAAAAAGAGGCAGCTCACTGTTTGGTTGAATTTCAGCTTCTGTATTCTGTCAAATGCCACATCCACATCATCAAGTGTGAATAACTCAAAATTTTCAACGCTGATGAGACTATTAATCCAGTCATACATGAACATCATGCCCATTTTATATACAGGAACCTGAAAACAGTTTTCAGAAATTATTAAGGAACTTCCACAGAAAGCAAGCAAACAAAGGAAAGATAAATAAAGTCGTCATATTCAAAACACGGTTGATTATATAACGAAGTATCAAGGTATTAACAAGTTAGGAACAATTCAGAAATAAAGTGAGGTGCGTAGGGTGATAAGATAGTCTGAAGCCCAATACAGCATCTATACGATTTACATTGACGATGTAATAAGTTTTCATCATGGTCTCTTATCCCTATATAAAACCCAGTTATGTCAGGATTCCCCTATTTCCAGCTCATGAGCGACTTTCAGCGGTAGAGCTTGGTAATAATGTAGTTGTTGTGTGACTTCGCAAGAAATTTATAGATTCGCAAAGGGCCAAACAAAGAACTGCGGGTGGAGTAAGCTGTCTACCGATGAACACATAAACTTAACAATGGTAATATGAACAACTCCAACATACAAATTAGGCACTATTCATATTCCGTTTTGTTGTTCCTCAAAATTTTGCCATATATGTAATCACGCTACGTCCCTGATACAAAAATGAGCATTTTTTTTGGGCTTGGCGCGAAGGCGCCAGATGGCGCTACCGATGTCACGACCATGGCCGTATTCCGCTAGATTCTGTGTAAATCGGTTTTATTCTTTTTTTTTTTTTTTTTTCTTATAGTATAGCAGTGGTTCTAAAAAACCAGACATTTGGCCCAAGGCGCACATCATCGACTATCTTCGTCGCACAGTGCCTGACAAATAAGTTTAAAAACGGCGACAATATCACAGTTTTCCCCCGTAACCGTGAGCCACGCCCTCCTTCACTGTCCCCGCCGTCTTTAGAATATGACGTCATCTGCCGCCACCGTGAGCTCAACGAGGCTTACCATAATCTGCTCCGACCTGAAGCTGCTTCATAATTTCTTCAATGCATTAACTGTTGAATAGTTTCCCAGAGACATAGCTGTGACTATGCAAACCGCTTTTGACCAGCATTTCAGGGACGTCGTAATGGTCTATGGTACCTCGACGACCCCGTTGAGCTCGTATCGCGAACCATGTTTCCGTGGGAAAATCTTCTGATGTCGTCGGTGTAGAAGGCTGTCATGTAAGGTTTAGATAGATTAGGTGCTCTTCAATACTGAGTTGGGGGCAGTCGATTTGATTTAGCAAAGTGTGATTAATGCTGTCTGAAATGTGGAGTCAAGTGTCTCTTTTTTTGGCCACCCCTGTATATAGGGGTTATGCGGCGTCCTTATTACGAATGACATTTATTTTTGGCGTTGACGAGGTTTGGTGCCTATCTCTTGCTCGTTTGCACTCTCTCAGGGCGCATGCATAGTCGGTCGTCCGACAGCAACGATCGTAACGATCGCACACGACAGTTACGATCGTTGCTGTTGGACGACCGACTATGCTTGCGCCCTCACTGGTTTTATCGCGATCAAGACTGTGCATTTGGGGAGGGGAGGCTTAGGGGTGAGCAAGCCATTCAGCCTGTGATCTCTCACAAATCATTCATCTCCGGCCATTCGATGCGCAATTTGCCCAACGCGGTGTCCCCCTCCACAACAAGCTTACACTCAGGCACTTCACCTAAGTGAGAGATCTCAGGAGAGCAGAAAATAGCATTATACAGCGCCAATTCCAAAAACGAATGTCATATTCGTAATCAGGACACCAAATAACCCCTATGCACAAGTTTACAGCGAATTTGGTGAAAACAGCCGTCGTGACAAAATGGCGCCAAATGGCGCCAAATGGCGCCAGCGCCAAAAATGAATGTCATTTCGTAATCAGGGCATCGAATTACCCCTATAGGCAAAGTTTCGACGAAAATTAAAATTTTGATATTTCGGAAGAGTTATAGGGCCCCTTTTTTAGTAAAGTGGTCAATGTAAGAGCTATAGGAAGAAATTAAAATTAACAGCCATTCGAATAATATAAAAAACTAGTGAAGTGTGAAAAAATGAAATCCTTACCGTGCAATAAATCGGTGCCGTTAAATCACAGTATTTAACAAGATACGCTAAAGCGCCTAAATGAGGCTGATCAGGATGTGTAATCAGCACAGCAGAAATCTGAAAATTTCTGATCACTAGGAAAATGGAATCAAAAATAACACAGATTTTTGGAAAAAAAGCTCTTACCTGAGATGCGCGAGATTTTATAGATTCTATGTAAGCCATGTCAAATTTATCGTCCCAACCACAATCCAATAATAAATAAGTTTCTTCTATCTAAAAATAACTTTAAAAGAGCAGAAGAAGATATGACGGACCTTCGCTTTGAACATGTATTGGCGTTAAACATCCCTTCGAAAGCTCATAAGACTCCGAGAGGCAATCATTTCTCACACTAATTCTTAAATTTCAGCTGTATTTTGTTGCTTAACACGTTGACGACAGCCCCTTATGCGTGTACCTCGGCAACTTTTTGTTTTTTTTTCACAATCGTCATAACTTCTTCAATAATTCCACTACTGGTAATTGACTCACAGTTTTTCGGATAAGATAACGCATGCACACAGTTTTGAAATATGAAAAAGGCCAAATAAAACCAAAAAAACTAGCCAGAATCGGGTGAAATTCTGACGCGCATGCGCGTCATGCTGTTGTCAACGTGTTAACGAGTCCACCGTGTCTTATATTTATACTTCTGGACAAGACGGCTATGAAATGGAATCTACTGACCATAAGTTGAGCAACCTGTGGTTGCCTAATTAAGCTTTTAGAGTTTTGATGGACTGTGAGGGAGCAACATGTTGACGAGCACTATGTAAAAACAAAACATGATATTGAAAGAAACTGAATACCTGTAATAAATAACATAGTGGTCCTTCATCCTTGACACCTGATAAGGGTTCAAGTTTAACTACGGAAGACATCTAAAAATATCAGTGGTAAAAAACTTAAATCAACACAGCCGTGTATCACGAGAGAAATGTATCCCAGCAGTTATGATTAGCAAAAGGATAAGAATTTGCGTCGACAAGTAATATAATATAGGGAAAAGGCCAGTTCGAGAAACTTTTCTGGGTGCTAACTTAGTTGGGGGGGGGGGCACGCGGCGGCGCGGCAGTCTGCTCGCCTGGCATGTTCGGAAATCCGTGGGCCAGGGGGAGTGTAGCCAGCCTAGGGGGGGGGGTGGGGGCAGTCACTTGACATGCGTGAAAAGCTGGAATGTTCGAGTTTACACTGTCTCGCTCGAGAGAGCCCAGGTGAGCAGACTGCCGCGCCGCCGCGTGCCCCCCCCCCAACTAAGTTAGCACCCTTTTCTGTCTGCTTTAAACAGGAATTTCAGAGGGTAAAGTTCGTCAAAACCAATTTGAAGGAATTGTAAGCTCAAAATCCGGTTCTCGAACGCATTGAAGTAGTGGCACCACAGAAAGCACCGGAATAGTGAATAGTGAACGAAGATGCGCAAAGCGCCTATATCTAATACTTAATGAGTCTGCTCTGCGAGAAAAGGACGTGTGTTGCAACAGTGCTCCTTCACCATGCCTAATTTTAGCGTTATCACAAGAGGGGGTATTCTCTGGGACTAAGCCTAGGATGTGGGGGAAGGAGGAACTGCGGGGAAAAGGAACTGCTCCGCTCCCTGAAGGCTCTCCTTACCGCCTGAGGTCTACTTCCCTTTTCAACAAAAAGGAGATGTTTTATGTAGTTTTAAGTGCACTGCCACCACAGTACTCCCGTATCTCGCATCCCAATTTATGCAGGGAAGATGCTACGGGATTTTTCTAGAGGAAGAAGTTAGGCTGGTGTCAGAGTCCGCGATCCGTCGCAGGTTTCGCTGATTTTCGCGATTTCGCGATTTGCGCGATTTGCGCGAAACCTGCGACGGGTCGCGAACTCTGAGACTAGTCTTACGTGTAAAAGCCGAAGCAGAATGCTTTGCGCGCACCGGAGTTTCCTTCTCTGAAAATGGGAGTACTGTAAGAAGGACGAACTGTCGCACTAATAGACTCCAAAACTGGGGCAGTTTATTTTCGCCAAAATACCGATCACCAGTTTGGCACATCCTCTGAACGGATTCGACATACACGCCCCTCGCGTAACGATTTCACCGCATGTTCTCTAAACAATTTGCTTGCCATGACCAACCAAGAAATACTTTTCAACGCCAGAATCTCTCATGTCGAAACTGAGTCACTTCTCGATCATCAACTGACAATAAGCAGCCGCTGCTAAAATGAGTGGGAGACCCATCTGTAATAGTGTATGGGGATCCACAACTTATGAGTTTAATAGTAAGAATTGCTGAAGTGCTCACAAAATCTTACTTCTGAAAGAGCTGCAAGCGTTATTCTCCCAGAAGTCTTTCAAAGTGCATTGCGTATATGAAAGTAAACAAGACAGGAGGCAAACTCCGATTGCTGCGTCAAATACTCGAGTAGTTTGAATCACTTATGAATTACCATAGAAAACTTTAAGTCAACTGTTCACAATAAAGTGATCTAAACAATCAAGAAAGCAACACAAAATTTCAGCACGATCAAACAACTATTTTAGGCGTAGTTGAAGTGGCATGTGACGTAATTGCGAAGAATGTATTACTACACGTCCAAGGGCAGCGGTCAACCGGAAGGCTTGGTGATTCAGCGTTTTGTAGTGTTCTCTGGGCACTCTCGCATATGCACACTATTACAGCATCTCTGCTTCGGCGCAATGTGGCTCGGGGGAGGGGGACGGTCGCTGCGCGCGACTCGGCGATGCTGTGTAACTCGGGCGACGGACTTTTGGTGCGTCCGGGGTTGCACGCGGCGATTTCTTGGATACGAGAATCTTAGATTTTCTCATTTCCAACCGTTTTACATGCAGCTTTAATTTTTTAATTAATGGAAAAACTTCCCCCTGCTTTCCCTGTATCAAAATGTGGACACTTTCCGAGAAACAGAAACGTAGCAACCTGTAAGGTCACTTGGGGTACTACATTTTCTTTAATGGCGCAGAAGCAGTGAACCACTATCCCCCTACGTTTTCAATAACGATGTGGTCTGAGGAATACGCCAGCCAATCCAGCACCCGAAACCCTCGCGTTTGCCTCCTTCCAAATGGAATACGTGTAGGGGACCCCCTTGGGCTTGCTGCAAAACAAGTGTTTTGTGACGCTGGCTTCTCGAAAAAGGTATAAGTCGGGATCCAAGCACCTCATTATAATCCTAATTGTCTACCTGACATGCTGGCAAGCCAATCTCCAATTTTCCGCTTCTTTTGAAACCACCCCAGACAATTGATGACCCTTTTCCGA